GACTGGGGTCGGATGCATTTCCATATCTGTTGGCGCAGCTGTTTGCACACAGACTTGAGACAGGCAACATCCTGCAGCAAGTATAGTACATATTACTACTCCTACTACTACTACTACTACAACCACAACAACAACAACTACTACTACAACAACCACAACAACAACTACTACAACAACCACAACAACAACAACTACAACGACTAGTACTAGTACTACTAGTACTAGTTCTAGTACTACTACTACGACGACGACTACTACTACTACTACTACTACTACTACGACTACGACTACGACTACTACTACGACTACTACTACGACTACTACTACGACTACTACGACTACGACTACTACGACTACGACTACTACGACGACTACTACTACGACTACTACTACTACTACTACCACTACTACTACTACTACTACTACTACTACTACTACTACTACTACTAGGGCCCCGGACGTTTCCAAGGTTCTGGCCCCGAAGCTCGGGCCCCGAACCGTGCACTACTATTGCTACTACCATTGAGTAGCACTACTACTACTACTACCACTACGACTACGACGACTACTACTACTACTACCACTACGACGACGACGACGACGACTACTACTACTACTACTGCCCTGGAAGTTTCCCAGGTGAAATGATCTGAGTTGTATTATTGGTCGGGCACAGGTCTCCTGATGAAAGCATTCGCTTTGGACAAAGCAGTAAGACTTGGCGCTGGAGGACTTGTGCTATGGGCTGAAATACACAACGAGGGTGATGTCAACGTGGCTATTTTGAAATGTCATGGTGGGGATCACTCAAGGTAAAGAATTTGTTCATTGTTCTAAAGCTACTATTATTGTTTGGGGGGATGTTTAGCTTTATAGTTTATGAATCAGTTTTCGGAGTTATTCAGCTTTATTTTCGGGTAGGTTATTCTGCATAGGTCGACATTATAGACTCATGCCGGAACCATTGATTGGGCCATGTTTTTTTTGCGTTTCTTTTGCGCAATAGTGTGGGATGAACCAAATGGTAATGTGGCTCTTTCCATTGGCGTGCGTTTCTTCCAGCTGTTCTCGCAGCGAGCTGAGGGTTGTCTTGGGACTTTCGATTGCATTGTCGATCAAAGGAAAACCAGCCTTGGCTGAAGCGACTTCGTCCACATTCGTCGTTGCAAACTTTTTGATGTTGCTTGTTTTTATGGAAACCATTGGCAGATGGCACCGACCAAAGCACATGTTCAGGTTTTCAACCTACAAAAGATCCTGAAATTTTTGCCGGTTTCTCTGATCTTTGCTGCTGCGCAGTCCTTCAACGTTGCTGGGCTTGGTCAAAGCGGTTTCTGCCTTTGCGTGTCATTGGCATGAGGTGATTGAGATATTTAGGGTGTATAGCCCGTTACCAGTAACAGTCGGTCAAAGATGATCATGTTCTTTTAATGGTTGGCCTTCTACCTCACCATTATCATCCACTGGGCCTTGGTAATGGGATATACCAAAGATATATTGAGATACAATTGAGATAACAATATACTAAACATATTTCAAACATATACCAAAGATAATCATAAACTTTGCAGTCCCTCACCTTGATGGCGCAGTCCCTCGCCTAGACTTTTCGCCTTCTGGACGGACCTCATCGAATCAGGTTCTTTCCTACACAGTGCTCAGCGGTGGGACCATCAAGATTTTGGGCCAGGCATGACAGCTTGTTTCCATTGGACTCGAGCAACAGTGGTTTTTGTTTTTGCCAGGTGCGTTTGCTTCAGCATCTTGGCTTGGAAGCCCACATGAATAGCACAGGCGCTATTTTGGCGGAGCATTTGGTTCTTAAGGTCAAGACCGGGAACACCCTTTTGAGAACACAATTCTTTTGTTCTTTCTCTTCCTCCTGATATTTGCGGACCGAGATCCATTTGATCGCTTCACCGGCCGTCACTGGCATACTGCCGCAGTCGTTCGCGGTGTTTTCGTGGAGAGGGATGCAGAGTCGAGAATTGAGGACTGCGCTCCTATCCAAGTTTCTTCTTGGGAGATCGTACCAGCTGACGCAATGGACTGCAGCTTGACGAATCAGCTTGACCTCTGGCTGTGACGGCAGACCTGTGGTCCTTAGCTGTGGAAGGTCATAGCTGTGATTGTCCTCGCGGCGGGCAATTTTTGTTGCGGCCTTACTGACACTCACTCTGACTCTCTCCCTCTCTCTGTTTTACGGACGAGACGGTGTCGTCCCGACGAAGACGGGTGAGAAGGCCTTGGTAAAGAGGACAACAAGATGAGATGGGCCTGCTACCAAGAACTCCAGGTGCGCAGTTGTTGCAGTTGTTGAGCCATTGCTGAGCTGTTTGATCCCAGATGACCCACTTCTTCTTGCAGGAAATCGAAGCAAACGAATCCTATTCATTGGATTCAACCGGAATTCCTCAGGAGTGTCGTGGTTCAGTGCTGTTGTAGTGTACTTCGATGTGTGTGTGTTGTGCATAGAACGGAAAAGACGTGGAAAAGAGGCATGCATCATGGGGAATCCAGATGCTACCGACAACAAGATGCAAGAAGTGCAAAGTTCTATGACATTGGGCCTTTGCTATGCTTCTTTGCCTTTTGCATTCATGGTGGAGTTGAAAAAGCGGGGTTGCTTCGTTGGTGCCTGTTTACTTTGCCTGGGCAGGTTGTTCAGAGAATTTAATTGAAACGTCATGTTGATTTTAGTCCTCAGAGCAATTTGAAGACCGGCAGCTCTCAGGTTTTTACTTATTTGATATTATCAGATCTTGGATCCCTCGTTTGCGACTCTGAGCAAGAACTTATATATTCTGATGCAGATGGATCATCCGCCGTGCTGTAGGCGATGTTCATGTCATGAATGGTGGGGTGCGTGAGACGTGCCGCGATTTTCCCTTGTGCTGGAGATCTGTTCAAGATCTGCACCTGCCTTCAAAGACCTCCAACCCAAAGCAGATGCATCTTTAGAGTTGGCACGCCGAGGAGCGCTTCCTCAAAACTGAGGAAGACCAGCACTTTGGTTCAATCTAGGCGCAGGTTTTAAGAGTTCTTGCAAGCAATCTAAGGCCCTACTACATCCAGAAGACTTGGATGGAGATAGGATCTTTTCCTTGTTCCTTGGCCAATGACAGGCAACTCACTTAGGAGATTGTCAGGGTGTTTCCGGCAAGGCACTTGTCAAGGCAAATGACCGGCCATTGCTCGAATTCCAGGTGCTTTCATTTTGTCATTCCTGGTGCCACTGGGGCAGTCGTTCCTGGGTCCTCAACTCAGTGTGACCAGTCTCCAGGTGACCAACCTTCCGCAGTCTCCCAAACTAGCAGATTTCTTCATGAACAACAGCTACACCAAAAACCACTGAACAACAGCTAACAAACGCGTAGACGTCCGGTTGGGCTATTTGCCATTGGCTTCCTTGAACATATTTGACAGTTGCTGCACATAGTCTTCAGTTCACTTCTAGAGACAGCTCCATGTTCAGTTCAGGCATACCTGACAACTAAGTAGCTCCAATAGCTTCCTGCCTTACACACATACCGTGATCAGGTGTGGCTGAGAAGAGGTGGTTCCTTGAATGATCTTTGAAAATGGAACGAATGCGCTCGGTCTCACCGCACTGTCGAATTCGCACCTTCGAACCACCAAGGCGACCGCAGATGTGGTGGAGTGAACATGAGAAATGCAGCGATCCATCCTGGGCATCGCAGGCTGGCCCACGAGCTCGCACGCATGGCTCAAGCATGGCTAGCTGAGCAATTAAGAAGATCCAGTCGATGTGCCCTAGATCCCAGAGGAGTCTCCTCACAGATGCTTGGGAGACGCATCTTTGTGGTGTGAAACCATTCCTTTTGCAATGCCTTGCAATGCCACCATGCGCAACAACCATGCCAGCACCTCGCAGGGCACTAATATGAACTACTGTGGAGGCTTTTTCAGAAATTGGACTGTTGCTGCAGTGCGAATCTGAGCATTGCCGATGTGTAGAGCGATGTGTTTGTCGCGACCGAGCTCTCGAAACTTCAGCAGAGACAATGTGATTAACGCAGTGCTCAGGTCATTGCGTTGTTGCTTTGCATGTCGCATTCTTTTCTTTCCGGACTGGTGGTCAAGAAACTCAATTCCGTGGTGAAACTCCTGGGAAAGTCACTTGGCTCTTGATCTTGTCAACTGGAATTACTTTGCAGTGAAGTCAACAGCTGTGAGTTTCAATTGTCTTTAATCTTTGGAAGAATCAGGTGCGCATCTTTGGCAACTCGGATGGACGTATTTGGCGGGCCAAAGTTTTCTGTTGTAAACCGGGCAGGTTCTCTCTCATGTGGACTCATGTGGGTTTCCTTTGTACACATCAAGTCCGCATGCCTCTGATGTTTGTTTATTTTTTTTTAGCAAAGCGACCAAGAAGTTCTTTTTTCTGTTTTCTTTGTCTATTTTTTCCACCTTCCCAGGCCTTGGTGTTCTTCATTGGCGATTGTTGGATTCTTCGCAAACTGGACTGAACACTTGTGGTGACACTCGATACTGTATGGATAGCTGCCTTCTCAATCGATATGTTTTGCGCGGCACAGCCGGCAGGACCCATCTCCTATTTGTATGATTGCGGCCTTAACAGTGACCCCTGGCATATCTTGACTTGTCAACAAGTACTCCCCGCAGTCCAGTTGATAGAAAGTCTGAATGGAACATAATGGAACGTGTCCTCTTTCAGAGCAGCGCCAAGGATGTTAGCAACCTTTACCTTCATGAAGCTTGGGCTTACTATTTTTGTGTCTTGAGTCTCCTTTCAGATTGATGTCCAACGGACGACGTTAGCTTCGGCCCTTGGCGGCACCGGAGGAACTTGAAGCCTTCGAGGGAAGAGAAACCTCGAGATGTTGCAGACGGACAATCCACAGAATCATGGCAAGGATTGGTCGGCTCGTTGGATGTGTTGGAGCTACGGTATGAGCAGGTCATTGTTGCATGTCACGACAGTTTTGCTGTTATTCCGGTTTTTGGTCACTGCTTCTTTCTGTGTGGCAAAAAAAGCATTGACCGTCTTGCTCAGGACCGGCAGGCGAGTGTTGAAATGACGCAGCGATGACAATTGAAGTGTACCGTTGAGAGACTGAGCTTGGCAATGATTTGACGCCCAAAGTTGGCTCAGCTCACTTCTGCGTGGCTGAAAGAAGCTCCTACTCCTCGTGGTCCTTTTCACCGGTAGTTCGATGGAAAGCGAAGCAGCTGATTTCGGGGAGCATCGATCCCGTGTGGGTCGAACGGTGGAGTAACGGAGCCAAAGAGAATCGAAGTCCTCGCTTTTCTGGGGGATCCGTACGCATCGTTGGTGATGTTGGTAAAAGTATATATATATATATGGACCTGATGATCTATTCGCATAGATTTGGAGACATTCGGCCTGTAAAAACGGGTAAAAAGAAACACCCTTCAAGATGCGAGATGGTCACTTTTGGCAGAGATGGTCCTCGAAAAACGGCGCTTTGAGGCTTCGGCGTGTGGAGGGAGCCATTTTGGAGGCGTTGATGCCTTCAACACCCTTGGAGCTGAGAGGGGCCTTGCTGAGGCGTGAAGGGCATTAATTAGGTACGTTAGGTATATGGCGTGATCTCCACGGTTTCGCGGAAAAAGACATTTTTCAGTTTGTTTTTTGGACAGAGCAACATTCCAAAGAAGTTTCCATACGCTATGCCTCTGTGATTCATATGGTAGACAGAGTAGAGTTGCCAGATTCGCAAGAGTCTTCAGCTGGCTTTAGGCCACGCTCGCACATGTTTTATTTGATTTTCGGGAAGGCGTGTCCAACTGCCGGCTCTGACCGGGCATCAGCAAATGATGTTCCTGGCTTAGCACCCACGGCTGAACCGTGTGGTCAGAAATGATTGAGGACAATAAAGAAAAACACTCGCAGGTTTGGGCAACTTCTTTCCCATGACCACTCGGCATTTTAAGGGGACGACTGCATCATTCAAACGAGAGAGCCGAGGGTTGGTTGTGCAGCGAAAATTCGGACAAACAGGCGTGTCATCTCAAAGCGCAAAGGCCTTCGCACGATTCCTTCGCAGCACATGCTGACAGAGCAACGGCCAGAACCTCGGGCTTCCAGAAGGCTCAAGTCAGCTACATAGCAACCCTTGGTTCAAGGTTGCTGCTTACCACTACAGTGCGGTGCTGTATCTTGATGAAGCTGGCAAAGACTTTGAAGACGGAGAGTCTCGTGACGGCATACATTTGCACACGTCATGGCAATAGTGGATATGTCACTGCTGAATACCGCTGATCATGCCGCTCGATTCCGAGCAGAAGGGCTCCGAGGCCTTTGCAAGCTTGACATGTTGGTTATCTGCCAAGGCAGTGGGATTTGCAGTTGCCAATGTTGCCGTTGCCCACCAATTCTTTGACTCCAGTCTCAGCCAAGGCTACTCTTCATGGACCGCCACTTGTATGAAAAGATCATTGGCAAATCCTTTCGATTTGGATCAAACCATTGGTATGCTGGCATGCTATTGAGAACGGCCCAATATATAATATAATATATATTGTGATTCATGGTAATGGTAGTTGTGCTGATGCTGGTGGTCCACTTTCTAAAAGGATTCTTCCTCTTTGATCTCTTTGTCACTATTTTGGGTAAAACCTGGACGGCCAGGCGATGGTGATCTTCGCCTAGCACCCAAAAGTGGCCAACTCGTTGCTTTTACCTCCGGGCTGGAGAACCTACATCGTGTGGTGAGCCTTTCTTCGGTTCTGCTGCCTCGGTGTTCGGAGGCATTTCCCTTCGGTCGAGCGCTTTTGGTTAGTACAAAGAGACAGGACATCAGAGGGGTGCAAACGGTCGGACGAAGCTGACTGAACTGAGTTCTTGCTCGGTCGGATGTCCTTTGAGCCCATGCATGGTGTGCTAATGTGAATTAGGATTCAACACGATTCAACAGTCTGATGATGTCTGATGTATGGCGTTGAGTTCTGCTTGGGTTCCAACCCATGAACTGTTGCATTCAGCCCAGCACCCATGGTCTTGTCGAGGTACCTCCACATGGTGGTCCCAGATATGTTCTTGCAATGTGGTTTGGTCTGAGCCCCAGTTTTTGTTCCGAAAAATGGAGCTTGGATCAACCGCAACAGGGAGCATGGGTTCAATTGCATCCTTTTGTTCGTGTGACTCGCAAAGTGTTTGATCGGCTGCTTCCCAGCGCACCTCTGCAGATGCTCTTCAGTGATCCTGGTAGAAGAGCGACTCCCCCACAAACGGATATTGGGAACCATTACGATCAATTTTGGCAGCACAGAGGTTCCGTGTAGGCGCTGGTTACTTGTTCACATCCCTTTGACCAGGCACAGGACCCAACGGGCCCATCCCCTGTGATGAATTGACGTCTTCGTCTCAGTGTGATCCTTTGCCCATCCCCACCGTTTCACCCCGTTTCACCCCATCGTTCAGGTCTGGCTTCGGAGCACATGTCGAGAAGCAAAGGTCGACCAGTGGCACCCTGAGGGACGAAGAAGCGGAAGACGATGATCCGAGTTTCGTTATCTTTAAAGCCCACCCTTACTTATTACTTCTTATAGGGAGTGGGCCGCTATAGGAAGAGGTAAGCCAGTAAGCTACTAGCTACTGGACGCAGGATAGCTCACACTTCTTCAAGGAAGCTCCCCATCCTCGCCTCCTTGGAGAAGTGCTGGCACTAATCATTTGGTTCCTAGATTTATATGGAAGCCTTTCTTTCATTTAGGGACCAAAGAGAGAAGAGGCTGCCAGCCGGTTATTCCTTCACTGTCTGCAGGTGAAGGACAGGTGACGGAAATCGCCATCGCGATGATTATTGCAATGGCCACACAGCCTACACTTTGACAGGTACACAGTATCCCAAAGATTTAGGTATTGACTTTGACACTATTGACATACGTCTGCGCATGGAGATACAAAGAGTCTCTCAAACGAACGAGACCCCAAACCAAACCATAAGGCATTTGTTTACTTAGTTCAGTTGTTGTGTTACTTTAGCTTGAGACATGATGTTGCCGCAAGAAAAGGACATATAAATTAGCATTTCTTATCCTTCTCTTTGCAGTGCTTCCGACCATGAGGTCTTCATCATTGCGCTGGCAGCAGAGTTGCTACGAAGCCTTTGCACCGCAGCCCGATACTACATGCAATCGCAAAAAGCAATGGTGAAGGTTCCCATATGTTCCCATACTTCTGGGATGTTCGGTGATCACAAGCAATGTGCGTGATCCTGGCGACTGAAGCTACTCTGAGGCAAACCGCACACTTGGCTCATGTCATGAGTGCTTTTCATGTCAGAAGAGACAGACACTCAATTTCCTGACAAACAAACAAGGGCAATATGTTGCATCGAGATGTGTAGAAACCATGCCACTCAGCCTTTACATGAGATCAACATGGTTGGCACTACTAAGGCAGCAGGTCCACGACCGCAAAAACAATCAACCACATCTGAACCGCACAAAGTCAAACATACTAGTCACGGAGATTTGTTAGTAGTCACGGTTACGTTATGGTTGTCATGTTATGTCACGCTTGGATTCTTTACTCTTCACATGCCTGACCAGACGTGATAAGTCGTGACCGTGACCGCTTCACTCCGGTTTGCCACTCCGCTGACCGCTCCCGGCGGCTCGAGCCGTGCTTGCGCCCCAGACGGCAAAAGGTCGGTGACGACGTCTGTGAGCGAAGGAGGAGAACAATGAACCCTTTCAACAAAAGAACAGGTGTAGAAGGTTGAGAAAGCAGGTGGGAGCAAGCGAAGTAAAGGTCTGGAAGTCAGAACCTCATGCTGGGGAATTAGATGGAACTATCTGAGGGTCTTGAGGGGAGCCCTCAGTCCACTGGGTTGAACATGTCCCTTCGAAATCCAAAGGTTTACTTTTTCTTGGTCTTATTGGAGTCAGCATACTCGCGACTCTGGCAGATAAGATTGAGTTGTCACAGGTTGGTGGTCTTATTGGTCCAAGGAAGCGTTCGCAGACCGTGCGTCACCCGCATCGGAGGCATTGGCAACATGGACACTGTGAGTTGGAATGTCCATCTCTTAGAGAAGCTGGCCAACATGTTCAGCCACGCGCTCTCTGCGCAATGAGGCAGCTGGATTTCCACACATGACAGCACATGTAGAGAAATCACCAGACATTGTCAACATATGTCTGCTACCGCCTCGAAGCCAGAGTTAGAGGAAAGCCCTCTTGGATAGTCAAAAAGGTGACTCGACTCCAGTGACCAGAGATCACCAGAGCTCACACACACATTATTTGGGTGTGTATCACAATTGGGAGACCTTCCAGGCAACGGCCCCCCTGGAAGGTTCGGGAATGAGACCAGTCAACTCCGGCTAGGGAGGCTAGGGGCGAGAAAAGGAGGGAGAACCCTATACACTGTAGTATACACTGTCTACACCCCCAAATATGGTCACACCATGTTACACCATGTTTGGTGACTCCGGAAGGTACCAAATCAACTTTTTCCTTAGTTGTCATGAATTACTCATGAAATTAGTTGCCATCACATAGTTGCCAACGCGGACATTGTTGCCAATGTATCACGAATTGGAATGGGCCGCCCTTTCTCTTGACTCACTCCGTCGTCCACTCGTGTTGGTTCTCCGTGTCGACTCCGTGGACCGATGTCCGAATTGAGGTCTTCCGACTCTTGGCTGATTTCTTGCACCTGGGAGGCGAGGCGCCCTGGCCCGGGCACCGTGTAGTTTTCTAACAAAAACGATCCGATCCGAATGCGGAGCTTAGTACGTGTCAGAGCTGTTTCAGCCTGCTGTTTCTTTAAGGTTCTTGGTGCTACAGGTCCATAGTGAGGTCATATAGGATTTATATATTGGTGCTTGCTTTCCCATCCGTGAAGAGATCTTGCTAAAACCCATCGGTTTCAGGCATGAGCTTTGGCCTGGCTGCCATTGTGTCTTCAAGCCCCTTGTCAGAATAGGTCGACCGTGAGACGTTCGGACGTTCCACGCCTCAGCCGTTCGGATGTTCCTCGCCACGTCTGAGGATCGGTGGCAGGCTTCTCCAGGAAGACCCAGGCGGTTTGAACACCTCGTGAGCGAGAGGAGCAGGAAACGCACGAATTGGGGTTAGCTCCAAAGCTTCTCAATTCCTTTTGGTTGAGAGAGTTTTGGCAAGTACTTGATGATTTGGAGAGTTTATCGAGACTTGTGGTGATGAAACTGCCAATGTCCAAGAAGGTCCATGGGCTCTACGAGCATGACTTTGATAGCATTTTGGGACTTGACATTCAAGCAGTTTGTTTCAAGA